CCCTGCTGACCCCCCCCCACCTTGCGCCCTACCAGGTGTCTGCCAGAACGGGGGCACCTACGATGGCATCAAGTGTCTCTGCACCCCGTACTTCTACGGCCCCTTGTGCGAGTACTCCACCAGCTCCATCGAGACCAACCTCCGTAAGTGCCACCTCCACCCTGCCCCATGGCCTCCCTGGAGGTTCTGGGCTCCCTGGTGGTCCTGGGCTCCCTTCCCTGGTGGTCCTGGGCTCCCTGGAGGTCCTGGCCTCCCTGGAGATCCTGGGCTCCCTGGTGGTCCTGGGCTCCCTGGAGGTCCTGGCCTCCCTGGAGATCCTGGGCTCCCTGGTGGTCCTGGGCTCCCTGGAGGTCCTGGCCTCCCTGGAGATCCTGGGCTCCCTGGTGGTCCTGGGCTCCCTGGAGGTCCTGGCCTCCCTGGAGATCCTGGGCTCCCTGGTGGTCCTGGGCTCCCTGGAGGTCCTGGCCTCCCTGGAGATCCTGGGCTCCCTGGTGGTCCTGGGCTCCCTGGAGGTCCTGGCCTCCCTGGAGATCCTGGGCTCCCTGGTGGTCCTGGGCTCCCTGGAGGTCCTGGCCTCCCTGGAGATCCTGGGCTCCCTGGTGGTCCTGGGCTCCCTGGAGGTCCTGGCCTCCCTGGAGATCCTGGGCTCCCTGGTGGTCCTGGGCTCCCTGGAGGTCCTGGCCTCCCTGGAGATCCTGGGCTCCCTGGTGGTCCTGGGCTCCCTGGAGGTCCTGGCCTCCCTGGAGGTCCTGGGCTCCTGGAGGTCCTGGGCTCCCTGGTGGTCCTGGCCTCCCTGGAGGTCCTGGCCTCCCTGGAGATCCTGGGCTCCTGCTGGTCCTGGGCTCCCTGGTGGTCCTGGGCTCCCTGGTGGTCCTGGCCTCCCTGGAGCGCCTGGCCTCCCCCGCCGCCCGGTCTTCCTGGTGGTCCTGGCCTCCCTGGAGGTCCTGGCCTCCCTGGAGATCCGGGGCTCCTGCTGGTCCTGGGCTCCCTGGTGGTCCTGGGCTCCCTGGTGGTCCTGGGCTCCCTGGTGGTCCTGGCCTGCCTGGAGGTCCTGGCCTGCCTGGAGGCCCTGGCCTCGCCTCCCT